TACATTTATTTTGACATCTGTATACCTATTTCTCGGCCTATAAAGTAAAATGTTACAAGTTCAGTCATTTCCCCTGTGCATTTTTATCTAGTCACATTCTGTTCATGCTGTAATGGAAACCACTTTTCTGAATTCAGTATTTATTATTACTGTGTGTTTTTTCATATTTTTACTACACACACACATTGCTAAACAATATATGGTTATTATTTTTAACATTTAGGATTTTAATGTAAATTAATTGTATGGTATGTATGCTTTAGCAACTTGCTTTCTGCTTCAGCAAAAATATTTGTTGTTTTGTGTTTTGTTTGTGAGATTCATGTAGTTCTAGTTCAGTCATTTTCAGGGCTGTACAGTGTTTCATTAAAGGATTATAATATTTTATTCAGTCTCTTCTTGATAGCCTTTTAGATGGTTGATGGTTTCCTTTTTTTTTTTTTTTTTGCTATAACATCTATTGCTGCTAGAAACATTGTGTATATGCCTTGGTATACCTGTCTGAGAGTTTTTAAGGGATATTTACATAGGAATGAAATCTTCATGTCATAATGTATGTTTTAATCTTTATCAGATAATGCCAAATTGTTCTTCAAAGTAGTCATACTACTTTATGATTCCTCCAGTAACATTGGAGATTCTATATTTCTCTGACATTTGGTAAAGCATTTAACTGATGTGAAATAATACCTCATTGTACTTTAAATTTGCATTTCTCTGACTACTCTTATGGCTCAAACATCTTTTCATATCGTTAGTAGCTATTTGGGTTTTTTCTTCTGGGAAGTACCTGTTGCCTATTTTTCCTTTGAGTTGCTTGTCTTATTGATTTGCAGAAATGCTTTCTTTCTTTCTTTTCTTTTTTTTAAAGATTTTATTTTTAAGTAATCTCTACACCCAATGTGGGGCTTAAACCCACAACCCTGGATCAAGAGCCACATGCTCTATTGACGGAGCCAGCCAGGCGACCCTGCAGAAGTGCTGTCTATGTTCTGGATACAAATTCTTTATTAAGTAAATATGATGCATTTGTCTTCTCTGTCTGTGCTTACTCTCTTTCATTTTTAAAAGGATGCCTGCTTTTTATGTCTTACAAAATCTTTTTGTAATTGGAGGTTATAGATTTTCATTTAGACTTTTATATCCAGGACTTTAGTACAAGTGGAATTGACTTATAAATGATGTGAAGAAAGGATCCCAATTTCCTGCCTATATGTATTGAATAACCAGTTGTCCCAGCACCATTTCTGGTCCTTTCTCTATTGATTGGCAGGACCCCTCAGTCATCTGTGTGTGGATTGATTTCTGAGTTCTCACCTGGTTATTGGTTGCTTATTATATACCCTGGTGCCATATTACATTTGTATAAAATCTTGATATCTGGTAAGGCAACTTCCTGCAACTGGTTGTTCTTAAAACTTGTATTGGCTCTTCTTGGACCTTCTCCTCCTTCACATAGGTTTAAAACCAGCTTGCCACAGTCCATGGCAAATTATTTTTTAATTTTTGATTGGACTGCTATTAAATTTATAAATTCATGTGAGTGTCTCTTATATCCAGTTTGTTCAGATTATCTAGTGCAGGGTTTCTTAATCTTGGTACTATTGGTGTCTGCAGTTGGTAATTCTTTGTTGTGGAGGATGTACGTTGAGGGATGTTTAGCAGCATCCCTGGCCTGATGACCAAAAATGTCTCAAGACATTATCAAATGTCCCCTGAGGGGTAAAACTGTCACTGATTCAGAAGTATTGATTTGGTCTATTGCAAAAATTTTCCTTATTTTCTTGAAAGTTTTCATATTTATTTAAATTCTTTCAGATGTAGGTTCCTCAGATGTGAATTTTATTTGTGTTGTCTACTGTCATGGTGATTTTTATTTTTGTGCGTGGCAGTTTTTAAGCATGAACTTGCCTCCAGCAGGATGGATGTCTTCTATGCCCTGGGTTGTGAAGGTAGCCTTATAGGGGTGGTTTTGGGTTTGCCTCTGAAGGTCTTATAGGCTTCCCTAGCTTGAGAGTGATTTTTATGTTAATGTCTTGATTTGGGATTAAAAGAAACCCTAACAAGGGGCGCCTGGGTGGCTCAGACAGTTAAGCGTCTGCCTTCAGCTCAGGTCATGATCCCAGGGTCCTGGGATCGAGTCCCGCATCGGGCTCCCTGCTCCTTGGGAGCCTGCTTCTCCCTCTGCTTCTCTCTCTCTCTCTCTCTGTCTCTCATGAATAAATAAATAAAATCTTTAAAAGAAAGAAAAAAAAAAAGAAACCCCAACAAAGTAGTGATTACTTGGACCCTAACCCTACTTCTCCCTTTCATGCTTCCCTTTCTCAAGTGCCTGTCACCTTTAGCTACAATTAACTGCCTCAACAGCACCCTAACATGTATACTGGTATTTTGCTGCAGGTTGGACTGACTCAGCACGGGATCTGTAGTTTTCCTTTTGATAATTTTTTCTGAATATGACAGATGCTACCACTGAGTAATTTGGATTTTGCTGCCAAACTATACCTCCATTAGGACAGAGGGAAGACAGCATGCCAGTTCTCTTGCTGAGTGTGCGTGACTGGCAGAAAGTCCTGGTATGATGGTTGGAGGGAATGAACTGAGCAGATGATTTTTTTTTTTTTTTAGCAGATAATATTTAAAAAAATGATTATCTAATGTTGTTAACTTCTTGATGGCATTGTTATATCATTGATGACTACAAATCAGAAAGGTTGGCTACTGTTTTTAAAAATAGGGAATTTTAGGGGTGCCTGGGTGGCTCAGTTGGTTAAGCATCTGCCTTCTGCTCAGGTCATGATCCCAGGGTCCTGAGATGGAGCCCCACTGCGGTGAGGTGGGCTCCCTGCTCGGCAGGGAGTCTGCTTCTTCCTCTCCCTCTGCCACTCCCCCCTGCTTGTGCACATGCTCTCTCTCTCAAATAAATAAATAATATTAAAAAAATAAATAAAAATAGGGAATTGAACATTTGATTTCTCATTGGTTCTTTTTCAGATAAGTCTTGTGAGTTTGGATAACATCTCATTTATTCTTCTCTTACTTATTTTATACCTTCTAGTGGGTATGAATATTTTATAGGTTGATTTATAACAACTACTAACAAAATTGTGACTTTTAGTCAATAGAATAATTACTTGACTTCCTTCCATGGAAACTAGTGCTTAGGTTAAAGTATTGTTAGCCTGTGAATAAAGTATAAATTTAGGGTCTCTGGAATGTGTAAAATTGTTATTAAGCTTTCAGATTAAAAAAAAAAAAAGTCTGAGTGCCAGTTTTTCTACTTTCATTGAGCAGTCATTTAGTAAATTCCATTTCTCCAGTTATTCATAATGGCTGTATTTAAGTGAGGTTTGGATGAATGGGCATGGGATTGGCATAGACACACCAATACTGATTAGCAAGTATACATAAGGTAAAATGTCTATTTTTATTAAGAACTCACCATTTAGACCGATTGTGGGAAGGCCAGTGTGAAAGATATAAATTAATGATCTACTTTAAAATAAAATATTTAAAATTTTTGAAAAATGAAATAAAATTTAAAATAAATTTGATTTTGTTACTTTCAGACCCTAAAATGCTTATTAATATTTTCATTGATGGGGAACTCTGGATCTCTAGGAAATTGTGCTTACTCTAAGAATCTATTTTGTCTTTTTGTCTTTGACAGCAAAAACTATTTAATGTCCCTTATACCCCTTTTTGCTTTGACTGCCAGGAAACTCAGGGACAAAGTCACAGTCTGCTAAAATCTGTTTAGGCCTTTTGGCCTGCATATTTGCTTTGTCTTCTCTATCCTTCCACCCCATTTCGACTTTCTAACTTAATGGTTTTTTAAACTAATTTTTCCCCCTCGTCTCATATGAAAATTTTCTTGTATTTAGTGTTGCTATTTAAGATGCCTCAAACCCATTGTGGGCTGGAATTGTACATAAATAAATAAAATAGCTTCAGTGTTCCTTTCTTAAATATAGCTCAATAAATATATAAATACACTTGTACACAAATACATAGTAACAGCGACTTACAGTGGGGTTCTGTTTCCAATTATTTTTTTGCTAAGATTTACTTTTAACCTTACATGTTCTCTAATAGAAATAGACAAGGTACTGTCTCAGAACACAAGAGTTTATTTAACATAAAATACAGCCATGAAATTTTATTTACTTACTTATTTATTTGTTGCTATGAAACTTTAGAATAGAATAGACAGCACCTGCCATTTGCACCTTAAATTTTGAACAAGAATAGGTTGAGTTTCAATGGAAGCAATTAAGAATACATTTATGGCATTCCCTCCCATTGCTCCCACCCCAGTCCAGCCCTGGGACCAAGAACTTTCCCTAGATTTTCTGTCCTCATTCCTTCCTTCCACAGATACCATCAGGAACTCCTGTGATGATTGCTGACCTGAAGCAGTGTATTGAGAGTAAGGGGCCCCTAGCACTTCCACGGGCTTAGGGTCTGAAGCCGTAATCAAAACTTGACAAGGCAAGGGGGCAGGTCCAATGAGCATTCCTGATGAAGTTGTGAAAAGGACCCGGGACTCTGGGAGGATGGGTGCAGAGATGTCTGCTTATGAGGGGTTTTAGAGTAGGAGACAACTGGGAGAAAAGAGGAGTAGTTCTGATACCCTGCAGAAGGTCTCTTGTCAAGACCCGTATTTGTTCAAACCTACCTGGTTGGTGTCACTTCAAGTGGGAGTTAACCCTGTGACACCAGTTTTTCTGGTCCATTTAGCTGCTTAGCCATTGGGCTTTTTCTTCTTCCTCCCACCAAGCTTATATGCCATTTATTTATTAACTCTCTCCTTGTGATTTTCTTCTTACCATATTTGACAGTCTCATAAATTCTGAGAAAGCCTGCGGGATTTTTGGGAGATGATTTGTTTCTTGTTTCACTTCCTTTAAAATGTAGGTTATCTTCTTTGTCTGTCTTGGTTTTTCGATCAGTTGCTTTGTCTACCTTCTATAGCCTTAACAATGTAAATTTAATCTTCTAGGTTAGAGAGACCAGCAAGCAAGGAAGAGCCTCTACCTTGAATGTGAGACATAAGTTACTTTGATAAGAGGATTTAAAAAATTCCCTTTTAACCACAGAACTCCGTTGGAAAGGACTTTGAAAGAAATGAAGAAAACCATCATAAATCAAGACAGCAGCCTCATGGCCTTTTATTGACTAGAGTGGAGTTTTATTACTGCAGTGTTTTGGAAGGACACTGTGCAGGATGTCTACTGAGGTCATTCATCAGGTTGAAGAGGCACTTGATGAAGACGAGAAGAAAATGCTTCTTTTTTTGTGCCGGGATGTGGCTGCAGATGTTGCTCCGCTTAATGTCAGGGACCTTCTGGATATTTTAAGTGAGAGAGGAATGTTGTCTGCCATGGGCTTGGCCGAGCTGCTCTACAGAGTGAGGCGGTTTGACTTGCTCAAGCGGATCTTCAAGATGGACAGAAAGGCAGTGGAGGCCCACTTGCTCAGGCACCCTCGCCTTATTTCGGACTATAGGTAATTCATCAGCAATTCCCAAGGCTGGACCTGGTGGGAGGGAGGGAGGTGGTCTAGGCTTATGAACAACAGAAATGAGGACAGTAAGAAAAAGCAGTGATGTTACCTTCTTTACCCATAGATTCAACTGCCTTATGATGTTACTTCATTCCTTTGAAGTCTTTGAATTCTTAGAACATGTTTGTTTAAGTAATTGGATGGAAGATCATAAAGAAAGTGGAAGGGCTGGGTAGCATGATGGATAGAATGATCTAGATAAGAATGACTAAGAGCTAGTAATTCTTGCCATCCTCTGACTGTGAGATCTGCGGTGGTCTTTCCTGGCTTATTTTCTGTGATGTCAGACTGACAGATTCTGAGAAAGGAAATAACAAGTCTGACGGTGGTCTTCCTGACCTTTGTAGAGCTCTGTGATCCCTCCTGAGTCCCCTTTGGTCTTTCCCCTGCTGAGGAGGTTAGTGAGGTGGGCTCCCTTTCTGTGAGTTCCAGTGAGGTCCTTGCCCTCAGAGGCTCGATGGGCCAGGGGTGCAGAACGAACATCCCATCGATTAACCAGCTGTAGGCCCCCTTCAGTTCAGAGAGGAATGGTCCCTGGAGTCCCCTTTAGTTCAGACCGTCTTTGAGTTTTTCCTTCCTCCTGCTTACATACTACTCTCTTGGAGGTTCAGGGGAGCACAGCAGCCCCAAGAAAGGCTGCATTTCTGGAGAAAGGAAGATACCTTGTAACCTTAAATTAATGGTTCCTTTTTCTCCAGACCACCAGCCTTAAGTTATATCAATGATGCATAATTTGAAGATGTGTATTATCAAGAACTATTTTAAGGAGAGTTGAAAGGAGCATAGGCCTTGGAAAGTGAAACTTGAGGTCTAGAGGCCTGTTTCAAGTCCCAGAACTACCAGTTACAGGCCACAAAGGCTGAGCCAGCCACTAATATTGCCCGGGACTTCCTTTTCCTACTTGTAAAGCTAAAAATGGTGAAACCTGATTTCACAAGTTTGTTGGTGTAATTGTAATAATTTAGTATGTGGAGTACTTTTAAAACTGTGAAGCCATCTACAAATGCAGGGGTTCATTATTATCGTAGTTATTCTCGATCATCTTCCACCTCCTCAGCTAGCATGTAATGTCAGTAATGTTCTTAAATGTTCAGAGGCAGTGGGTTTCAGTGAATAGGTTAGGGCACTCTCCATTTCCTGTCTCCTTGCTATGGTGAGTGTAGACAGTTCCTCAGGGCCTCTGGGCAGAGAGGCTGGGTAGTGGGATGCTAGATTCATCGATGCATCTGTTCAGTGGCCTTTCTTTTGGGTCAACATATACCAGGTGTTTGGTAAGCGCTAGAGCAAAATGAACGAAGCATCTTCTGTCCTCAAGAATTTGAGAGCCTAATTGGGAAAACAGCCTTCTAAGCAGTAATGACAATGTCCAGGCAATAATGCCAACCACAGGTGTCCTGGGAGCCCAGATAAAGCGTGATGGTGGCTCCCGCTGGAGCAGAGGTGACTGAATCAGGAAGAGCTTTCTAGACAAAGACATCTGTGGTCACATTCCCCAGTCCCCAGGCTCTAGATGCCTTTCACCCTTTGAGTTCGAGAGTGGGCCAGGACATCCCAGGTATAACTTTGCTTTAGAAGCTTGTGACTCAAAGTATCATCCCTGGGTCTGCAGTGTCAGCATCCCCTGGGAGCTTGTAAAACAGAGAAGACAAGATCACTTCGAATTCTATTTCTGTCTTCCATCTTAGTCATATATGTTCTTCACTTATATCATCATAACATCTGGGGAAATAGGGGATTCTTTAGGGAAGTTTTCATTCTCTGAGTTGTTTTTAGAGCAGTTAGTTGGAAAGAAAGGTACTGTTTCCTATTGAAAGTAGGGGAAGGATGAATTTCCTTTTTGAGTTTTGTTAAGATATCTTCGTGAGGAGGCCTAGGCTTTCTGTTTTATGGGGGTGTATATCAGATGGGGGCCTGAACTAGCCTTTTAACCAATTATTGGCACAGCGGAGGCATCGGCTCTTGTTTTTCTCACTAGGATGGTATCTGAATTTACTGAAAATAACTTGTCTGGTTTACAGGGTGCTGATGACAGAGATTGGTGGTAATTTGGAAAAATCTGATCTGTCCTCATTATTTTTCCTCATGAGGGATTATACTGGCCGAGAAAAGGGAGCCAAGGATAAGGTGAGTTTTCTTTTTCTTGGTTCATGTTCCCAAGAGCCTATCAGAAGGTGGGGGGTGATCTCTAGGGTGTGAAGAGAGGGACGTGGGTCCTTGAAGAGGGAGGCCCAAGCTGGGGGTGAAGGTAGGAAGCGAGAAGAGAAAGGTCTGTTTCTTAATAACATTGATAAGAAGAGAATTGGTTTCTCAATTGAGAGGAAATAGGGTGGCCTTGGGTGTTTCTCTCATCCTTGTATTTTATTCTTATTTCTGTAAAAGTCAGAGGCCTGATTTAGGTATCAGTTTCTCTCCCCCGTTTGACAGACCATCTGGGAGGGTTTGGAAGTCCCATCTGCTCACACTGAGGGCAAACAGGTGGGAAGTACGGGTCCACTCCCGACGGCATCTATTTTCCCCCAGCTAGCTCAAGGCCAGCGTGAAGTCATTAGGCTTCGTGTGGAGATGAGGTGGGGGAAGGTACTTGTGACTCATGTATCCAGGGAATGGCAAAAACAGAGATTCAGGGTTGGAAGCTAGGTAGCAGTCAAGATCTCAGGGATGTTGTAATTGCTGGCAAAGTAAATTCCTCCTGGCCCCATGTGATACTCCTGGCCTAAGGACAGGCCAAGAAAGTCTCAGGTCTTTAGATTATGAAAATATGTTCTTAAAGGACCTGCCTTTGAGGACTCTGGTAAGGTGTGGCTTGAGAATTTCCTCTTGTTCTTTAATCATTGGAGTTTGGTTCCTGAAATCTAGGCAGATAGGGTGACTGGATGTACCCCCAACCATCAAATGCATCAAATGGGAAGGAAAATGAAAAAATAGAACTTCTATTTGGTGTCCCCAAATCAACTTATCTGCCAGTCATTTATATCAATTTCTTGATGATGATTATTAAAAAAAAAAAAAAATAGAGCCTCAGTAATCAAATGTTAAACTGAAGGGAAATAAAACCCAAAGCAAAGCCTATTTCTGAAATGTAGTTCTTTCCTAATCTCTTTGGTCCAGGGCAAGTGAGTAGCAATATACCCTAACTTTTAAATTTTGCCCCCTCAGACTTCCTGAGTCAGAATGAGTTGGAATGTCCAGCATTGACTAAAATATTTTAGGAACTTCAGAATTACATCATTGGGATTTTTCTAATAGAAACTTGCCCCCAGCTATCTTCTCTCTTCCTTTTTTAGGAAAGCCCTTAGAGCTTTTCAGTATAATTTCAGCCGGGCCTTTTGGAAGAATGGTACTTTTTTTTTTTATGTTATGTTAGTCACCATACATTACATCATTAGTTTTTGATGTAGTTTTCCATGATTCATTGTTTGCATATAACACCCAATGCTCCATGCAATACGTGCCCTCCTTAATACCCACACCAGGCTACCCCATCCCCTCACCCCCCTCCCCTCTGAAACCCTCAGTTTGATTTCCGGAGTCCATAGTCTCTCATGGTTCCTCTCCCCCTCCGATTTCCCCCCCTTCATTTTTCCCTTCCTTCTCCTAATGTCCTCCATGCTATTCCTTATGTTCCACAGATAAGTGAAACCGTATGATAATTGACTTTCTCTGCTTGACTTATTTCACTTAGCATAATCTCCAGTCCCATCCATGTTGATGCAAAACTTGGGTATTCATCCTTTCTGATGGCTGAGTAATATTCCATTGTATATATGGATCGTGGTACTTCTTGATGACATACAATGGCCCGTGTGTCTATCCCCAACCTAGGTACAAACCTTGTCCACCAAAAGACTTAACCACCTCTTTCTTGATAAAATCCAGGAGTGTAATTTCCTCCTGGCCTTGGAGGGACTATAAACCAGAGAGGTCTGGTTTAGGATCACTGAAGATCATGGAAGGGGCTCCCCTTGTCACATTTTCTTGTGGTTACAAATCACCCAGCCTGAGGTTTGCGTTTGGGGCTTAAGAGTCAGCCTTACTGACATTTTTTCTTGTTGGTTGCTCTCGCAGAGTTTCCTAGATCTCGTGATCGAATTAGAGAAACTTAATCTGATTGCTCCAGATCAATTGGAATTACTAGAGAAATGCCTGAAGAACATCCACAGAGTAGACCTGAAGACAAAAATCCAGAAATACAAGCAGTCAGGTAAGTAGGCCTCTCTCTGGCCTAAGGAAAGTACCTTGTGTATCCTAGGTTCAGTTGGTAAAGACTGATTTGTTGGATGAGTGGAGGGGACACAACCCAGGGTCAACAGCCCCCACGAGCCTGTGGCTAGAGATCACATCCCTTTCCATCTTTCGTATCCCAGATCTGCTGACTTCGTCACCCCATACCTATGATCACAGAGCCTCAGCCCTCTGCAAAACGCTGCCAAGAAGTTCTTAACATTCTAGCCTTCAGGAAATCATCTGCACCCACATTTTCTGCACAGGCTGGCCGCATTGTGGACATGCAGGGCTTTCGAGTGCATGCCGAGCCCTACTGTCTTGCTCCAGTCTTGGGCCTGACCCCCATCTTCTGGGTGGCATCCTGTCACTGGGATCCCCTAGCTGCCCTGTGTGTCCTGAGTTTCACAAAACCTCCTCATGGGAAAGGGTACCTTTGCTCCCTCCATAAAGGGGACCAGACTCACAGTGGCCTTCTGTCTCATGCCACCCTTCCCCCATTGTCTTTTAGATTCAGCCTCAGCATGGGCTCTGTTAGCAGTCCACCACCTCCATAGAGTCACAGCCTAAAGGGCATGTCTGAGACCCAGGGATCTACAGACCCCCCTCCCCCTAGATGACCGATAAAAGATCAAGGGTTGGTGTGGCATTTTTAGTCCTTTCTTAATGACAGTGGGAGAATCATCTGAGCTGATATTTTGAATTTAGTAAGGTAGTTAGGTAAAGTTTAGGGTATTTTGGAAGGTGGATGACTGACTCTGAACTGAGCCATTGTTGACTATTCATTTGACAATAACTTGTAAATCTTAAGTCAATACCTTTCTTCTGCTTACAGCTCAAGGAGCTGGGACAAGTTATATAAATGCACTCCAGGCATCATTCCCAAATTTGAGTCTTAAGGATCCTTCATGTAACTTAAGGGTGAGTCTGGAGCAAATGTATAGAATTCCAGAAACGGTTTCAGAACTTTGATAAAAATATACATATTCTCACAGCATGTACTTCATTTAATGTCTGAAAAAATGTGATAGAAATGTGCATTTGAAAAAATATGTATACCTTCTTATGATTACAAAGCTAACCTGTGTTCATTGAGAGAATTTGGAAAATACAGAGAAATATAAAAGACGTAAAATAAATCACTTCTATCCTACTATGTAAAGATAAACACTGTTAATATCTTGGCAAATTTCCTTCTAGTCTTTTCTCTATGCATGTTTGTGTATCTACACATACAACTGAACATTTTTTTCATTGTTCATTTGTTCTTTAGAAAATTTAGCTTTTTAAATATAAATAAGTAGGACATACTCATGAACAAAAATTTCAAGATGTAATAAAAGAATTTTTAAAGTACGTTTTCTCTTACCTCAGTTCCTTTCCCCCCAGGCAGCTGTTGTTAACCATTTTCTTCTGTAAACATCCAGAGATAGTCTATGCACATACCGTATTTCACTTTTGATTTTTTCTTTTTGTACAAATGGTAGAACACTGTGCCCATTGTCCTGAGCTGAGAATTCTTGGAAATTGTTCCATATGAATCATTTGGGACCACCTCTATTTAGTCATTGTTTTTAATGGGTGCATATGGTTCTACTTTCTGAATGTATCACAGTGTGTATAGCCCTTTCTTCTGTTTGTGTATTTAGATCATTTCCAGTCTTTTGTTACTACAATGATTCAAAATAAATATCCTTATATTTACCTCTCTGTGCATTTTCTTGTTATTGAATTTAACGATTTCAGCATTAGTGTTTTTGTTATTGAGTTATATTACTGAGTGAGTGATTTGTGACCATAAATATCACATGGTCCCTTCTGGTTGTTGTGTTATTAAATGGTGCAAAGTATTACCATAATTGTTCTTGGTTAGTTTTTTATCTCAAGAAGTTAATCCTAGTATAATATCCTCATCCACATAAAGGTATGTGGAATTTGTAGTCAGGCCTTAGGTCACAGTGCAATTTCATGGTTAAATTATAAAAGCTTTCATAAACATGTGTGAGGAAAACATTAACTACCCTAGTAATAGAAATAGTTTTATGAAGAATGTGAGCTGTGAGAGATAACCCTGAGCAATAGAATTTCAGAGCTAAAATGAGTATTAGGGATTATATTGTCCAACTGCCTTATTGAACAAATAAGGAAATTTAGGCCTAAAGTACATCAGGTGATTGCCCACCTCTACGGAACACCAGAACTGGGCCCAGTCCACACTCCTTCTTCTATACCATGGTATATTTAATAAGCTACATACCAGTCATGCCATGGCTTATCTGTCATTTTTTTAAAGAATCAAATATACTTCCTTTTTTCCTTCTGAATCTCTGTGATATTAGGTCATGAAACAAAATTGATTTAGGATTCAGATCCAGATTTTCTGAGCTTTTCCTACTATTGTATATCTAATATAAATTACACTGTCATTCTTGGTTAAAAGCTTGCCATATTTTTACTATTGTCTTTCTATTTTGTTGATGAAAGTAATTATATTCACTGTCTATGAGGCTATTGGGAACCCATGTGCTCTGTATTTAAAGATTTTTTTTTTTTTTTTTTTTTTTTTTTATTTGAGAGAGAGAGAATGAGAGACAGAGAGCATGAGAGGGAGGAGGGTCAGAGGGAGAAGCAGGCTCCCTGCCAAGCAGGAAGCCCGATGCGGGACTCGATCCAGGGACTCCAGGATCATGACCTGAGCCGAAGGCAGTCGCTTAACCAACTGAGCCACCCAGGCGCCCTGTGCTCTGTATTTAAATTTCTCCTTTAGTTTGCTGTATTGATCTATGACGCTGATCATTAATTTGTTTAGTAAGCAGACACTGTGGCATACGGATTCAGCAAATTTCTCATAAAATTAGGAGGTAAATACCTGGATGTTAACTCATGCAAGAGTGCAAAGTGCTTTAAAAATTATAGTGACATTAAATGACACATGACACAACATATTATAGAATAAAGAAGTTGTGTCACTCTGCAATACAATGCTTTTTAAAATCTAGCGTTGATTTGATGTTGTATTTCTTTAATAGCTATGTAAATGTGAATGCACATCCATGTGGGGTTCCAAATTCTGTATAGTATCGTCAGCCTCTGGCTAAGTCACTTACTAGTGATAAAAGCAACTTACATGTTTTTCTTTAAGTTAGACACAGAGACTTAGCTACAGACACAGCTTAATGAATAGTATACTTCTCTCTTTTGGCTAGGATAGCTTCAGAGGAGAACTGTCATTTGAGAGCTGAACCTATCAGATGGTTGGCAGTATGTGGTATATGTACTTACAAAGGACCTGTCATCTGAGAAGAGAAAGGGTTGGTTCAATCTTCCATTCTCTGATGAATTTCATTCTAGCCCTCAGAATTGGTAGCTGATTTTTCTTTCTTTTTTTTTTTGGTAGCTGATATTTAAGAACCAAGCCCACATGTGGCTTATGTGCAACTAGGCATTATAGAAACACAGTAACTAGACGTTATAGAAAAATAATAATATGCTAGCACTGTGCTAAGTGCTTTGTGTACATTTACTCTTCACAAGAAATTATTAAGATAGCTACTATTATTATCCTCATTTTGAAGATAAAGAAACAGACATGGAGGTTAAATAACTTGCTCAAGTTTACACACTTAGTGGCAGAATCAGGATTCATAGCCAGGTTTGTCTGGGCTAGAACTCCCCACTGTCTTTTTTTTTTTGAGTATAGTTGCTACAGAAACGTTACCTTAGTTTCAGATGTACAACATAGTGGTTTGACAAGTTTATACATCATGTTGTGTTTACCACAAGTGTAGCTACATCATCTGTCACCATACAAGTTAATATCATTGACTATATTCCTTATGCTGTGCCTTTTATTCCTGTGACTTATTCACTCCATAACTGGAAGCCTTCAACCCTTTTGCCCATCCTCCCACCCCCCTCCCCTCTGGCAACCATCAGTTTGTTCTCTGTATTTATAGGTCTGATTCTGCTTGTTTGTTTATTCTTTTTTTTTTTAAGATTCCCCATATGAGTGGTATTTGTCTTTTTCAGTCTGACTTATTTCACTTAGCATAATACTTTCTAGGTCCATCCATGTTGTCGCAAATGGCACAGTCTCCTCCTTTTTTGTGGCTGCATAATATTCCATTACAGATCTATAACATCCCATATATATACCATTCCAATATTTATAATATGTTACATATATATGGTATATATACGTATGTTATCCATATCTGTTCTTTATTGACAGGCACTTAGGTTGCTTCCATATCTTTGCTTTTGTAAATAATTCTACAATAAACATGGGGTACGTGTATCTTTTTGAATTAGTGTTTTATATTCTTTGGATAAGTACCTAGTAGTGGAATTAACTAGATTAAATAGTATTTCTATTTTTAACTTTTTGACGAGCCTCCTCCATACTGTTTTCCACAGTGGCTGAACAAATTTACATTCCCACCGACAGTGCCCAAGAGTTCCTTTTTCTCCACATGCTCGCCAACACTTTAGAACTCTCATTCCTAATCATACCGTGCATTGCCTCTGTGTTGAAGGATCAGGTGGAATGTCAACCTGATGTTCCAACAGCTTGTTCTGCCTTGGAGCTCTTATAGCAACTCTACAATACCATAACATTGGATTTTACTGAGCCTTTTCAAACATCCTAACAAGCTAATTTAACATATTGCGTGTTCATTGTATTTTCGCTTTTTAAAAAGAAGAGTTGCCTTGTTCTTTGGCTCTAGAATATGGGATTTATGGCGTTAACTGCTCTTGCTATTCGTCTTTAGATAATTTAACTGTGAACGTGATACTTTTATTTTTTTCCTGGTAAGGATTCTATTGAGATATTTAAAGAGGTGTGATATAAAGTGCCTCTGAAAAAAACTAACAGGGGATATGACCTTATTCTTTATATTTGAAGCTCCAGAATGGGAGAAGTAAAGAACAAAGACTCAATGTGGGACAACTTGACCTTCAAAGTAAGGCCAATTTTTCTTTATATTCATTCTTTATAAATGCTTGATAACTCAAGTACATATTGTTGCATTTTTGGAGTTGGCCATTTCCTTTACATGTTTTGATTAAGCTCTCAAAATAAATAGCAGTTAAATTCTTAAAATGTAGCCACTGGCGTTTCTAATTATTTAATGAATTAGCTTATTTGAATGTAAATACCTCCTACTCCATCAGCTGCATCATCTTGGATATATTTTTAAGAGATGTGCTATTTATTCCTGAAGTGGAACTATAACCAGGCTATGTTAAACATTAATCTAGCCATGATAATGAATCCTGTTAAACCAAGTATCTGGCAGCAGGAAGGAGAAAGGTTACTAGGATATTGTTTTATCCTCATTTTTTTTAAATGATTTTATTTATTTATTTGTCAGAGAGAGCACAAGCAGGGGGAGTGGCAGGCACAGGGAGAAGCAGGCTCCCCGTGGAGCAAGGAGCCCATTGCGGGACTCAATCCCAGGACCCTGGGATCATGACCTGAGCCGAAGGCAGACGCTTAACCGACTGAGCCACCCAGGCGTCCCTGTTTTATAGCTCATTTAATAAATCTACAGAGGACACCTCTACAGATGACATCCCCTTACTCCTAAAAAGAAAGAAAAAAATAGAATAAAAAACTAGTCATTTCAACCCCATACGATCTCTCTCTTATCTCTTAAAACATCAGCACTTGATCCCATAAGATCATTTTTAAAGATTTTTATTTATTTATTTAACAGAGATAGAGAGCACAAGTAGGCAGAGCGGCAGACAGAGGGAGAGGGAGAAGCAGGCTCTCCGCCGAGCAGGGAGCCCAATGCGGGGCCGACCCCAGGACCCTGGGATCATGACCCGAGCGGAAGGCTTAACCGACTGAGCCACCCAGGCGCCCCCATAAGATCATTTTTAAAAAGTGTATTTCTTTTTTTAAAAAAAGATTTTATTTATTTATTTATATATTTATTTATTTGACAGAGAGACACAGCGAGAGAGGGAACACAGCAGGGGGAGTGGGGGAGGGAGAAGCAGGCCTCCTGCTGAGCAGGGAGCCCGATGCGGGGCTCGATCCCAGGACCCTGGGATCATGACCTGAGCCGACTGAGCCACCCAAGCGCCTCGAAAAGTGTATTTCTTTTGCTTGTCTCTCATCCTCCTTGAAGTGAAGGCTGAGACTTGGTCTCATACTGTATTGGAGCGGATTGTGCCTCAGCACTTCTGGAGGCAGGGATCGGTAGGCAGCGAGGGAGGTCTCAGTCTTCCCTGAGGGGCTTGCAATTTGTCCCGCATGCAGTGGCGATCGTGAATGTTCCCAGTAGAGCAGTGGCCCATTGGGAGCCTTCTTTGTGTGGCAGGCCCCTTGCCAAAATCTTCTGAGTCAGCCTCCGTGCTGTCTGCCTGCTCCTAGAAACCGAGAAGCATTTCGCCCAGATTCGCCAGATGGTACTGCTCATGCCTGTCATTCCCTACCTAGTCTTCTGCTCTCCAGCAAAAGCTACCGAGAAGTGAATTTATTCCTGAAGTGACAGCATGTTTCTCAAAACACTGGTGAGGTGGTGAGAATTAGCATTCTGAAAGCTGTTTAAAAGGAAAACAGGAGACCTGGTAGATTTGGATAGGAATGAAAAACAGTTGGTGTTCTTTCCATAGCGCACCCTGATGGCAGGTTTCTCCTTAATTGTAATGATACTGGGTGTTACATGCAACTGATGAATTACTAAACTCTACATCTGAAACTAATAATATACTCTCTGTTGGCTAATTGAATTTAAATTAGAAAAAATGTAATGATACAGGTGAGATGGGTAAGGCTCCCAGCACCAGTGGTGATCCTTCAGAGAGCTAGGGACCTGCTTTTGCCTAGACCTGGTTTATTGGCTAGTAAAGAAAAAAGTGTTTGTATTAGTTTGTATTAATTATAAAAAACCAAACAGATTTTGACTGGATGATGATGATGTTGATCACTATCATTTATTAAGCTCTTACTAAGTGCCTTAACCCAAGATAGGCATAATACATAGATTATTTTGTGTGTTTTTTTTATTCTGTTAATCCATGATTGCTTAAATACAAAATGAAAAAGAGAAATTTCCTTTTAATCCCAAGTATCAGATGACCACTGTTAACATTTGATTTATATACCTCTAGACTCTTATTTTTAAGCATATATATGTGTAAGCATATGCACACAAATACGTATTTTTAAGTCTGTGGGATTAATATTATCCATGTTATTCAATAACCCATTTTCACTTAATATACCCTGCATATCTTTTCATGTCAAATACATAAAGATCTTTCTTATCTTTTTTAACATGTATAGTATCCATTATGTGTACCACGATTTATTTAGCCAGTTTCATGTTGGTGGATTTTTAAGTATTTTTCTAGTTTGAGGCCATTATAAACAATTATTCGGTAGATATTTTTGCATACTTGCTCTATTAGTTCCTTAGGATAAATTTCTAGAAGCAGAATGTTGGTTTAGAAAGTATTGCCAGGGGGCGCCTGGGTGGCTCAGTTGGTTAAGCGGCTGCCTTCGGTTCAGGTCATGATCCTGGAGTCCCAGGATCGAGTCCCGCATCGGGCTCCCTGCTCAGCAGGGGGTCTGCTTCTCTCTCTGACCCTCCTCTCTCTCATGCTCTCTCTCTCTCAATAAATAAATAAAAATCTTAAAAAAAAAAAAAAAGAAGGTATTGCCAGTTGTCCTTTAGAAAGACTGTTTCTTTTTTTTTTTAATATTTTATTTTTTTGAAGTAATCTCCACACCCGATGTGGGGCTTGAATTTACAACTCCAAGATCAAGAGTCACATGCTCTACTGACCGAGCCAGCCAGGTGCCCCTAAAAAGACTATTTCAGCTTACTTACTTACAGAAAGTACTCATTTCCCCCAAACCTTACAAATACTGGCATTGTCTTTGCTTGTCTTTAGACATTCTCATTTTTGTAACAATCTTATAAGGTAGATGTTGGTATGTTCATCTTTGGGATTTAAAAACAAAACACAACGAAACACCCTGAGACTTTAGGAGGAACCTTGCCTAAGATCACAGAGCTCCTCGGTGATGGTGCTGGGGTTTGAGCCAGCCATTTATGGCTTCAAAGCTGGTGCCTTCTCCACCTCTCTGAGCTAATAAAGTCGCTTTTAACTAATGTTATTGGCTTTAGGCTCATCTACATTTGCTAGGCTCACTGTCCTCTATCTTGCCATTGCCATTTTATTTTATGACCTCTGAATATCACTGGACTAAGAAAACATGGCCATCTGTTGCACCAGTGACAAATATAAGTAAATTTTCCCTTCTCTGCAGTCTCTTAAGGCTGCCCCTCTAGGTGCTGCCCACGGTTTCAGCATAGGGAAGAAAGCTATCGATATTGTTGGGTGATGAGGTTATTGGATTCTCCGTATCTGTTTAAAAATTCATCAAGTCACCCGGTCCTCGCCTGGAGAAGGGCAAGGGAGAGCCCTTTTCCCCTTGCTCTTTAAGCAGTTTTTCTACCTACCCCCTGCACGGCATGGGGACTTGTGTTTTCTTATCAGTTAGGTTCTTCAGTGGGTGGTTGGAACCATGGGGCTGAGTAGAGCAAAGAAGAGATAGTAAGGGGAAGAAAATAAGGGAAGAAAACAGCTGAGAAATAAAGAAACCCAGACAGCATGGGAGTGGGCTCAGTTCTCCTTCAGCTTTGTAAATGATTTCTCTCTCATCCCCCAGGAGAATCAGTGAAGGCATCCATCCAGGAATCGGGAGCATTTCTACCGCGGGTACAGAATAAATGATCTGATTTGGTATTGTACTGTATGCACAGTATCTGTGGAGAACACTGGCTGCTTTAAGATATCTGTCCGTTAATAATTCTCTGGGACAAGAATAGGATGCTGAGAGCGCCATTCTCCTGGGAACTCTCCTAACGAGGAACTTGGATAGAGCCAAGAGAAAAATGTTGATGTGGATTGCATTCGTGAACTTTGGAATGTGGGAAAATTCCAGAGCGGCAGTTCTCTTCTCAGCTGAGTGATTGCTGAATGTATTCGTAAGCAGTTCATGCTGAACCTCGACTTGCTCTGGCTTCTTTTTTAAAGGCTGAAACCCCTTCTCCATAAGGAGGCAATAGAAGGCCTCCTTTTGTACTGGTTTGGAAAGATACCACTTGTATAAGCTCAGGTTACTGTAGAAACATATGACCCATCCTTTCTCTCAGCTTTAAATTGTCTTCATCCTGCAGAGCTCAGTCATGTGTAACGAGACTGTGATTTTCATTAAAATTAAAAACCGAGACAGCTTGTCTTCAGCACATTACCTAAATAGAGAAAAAATGTGAAATTAATGGGAAATGTCAGCTATGGTGACTTCAGGCTGTCTATTGCATGCATGACTCACCTGGCAACAGGAAGTTTGAGGAAATCCAAAAGAAAAGATGGTGTATGTGTGGGACCTTATGGAAACAGAGCAATGTCCAGAGTTTTTAACAATCCCTGCTTTCCTTTCCAGCACATACCAGAAGAGAGATACAGGATGCAGAGCAAGCCCCTAGGAATCTGCCTGATAATCGATTGCATTGGCAATGCCATAGGTAGGTATGGATGCTGCGGATTAACTGATGCCCCACGGTGAGGTCACGGTGAGCCCAGACAAGCTGTGTTCATCAGTGATCAACACTACCTGTTACAACAAACCGCTGCGGAAGCCTATGGCTTCACATAGCGAAGGGTGCTTTCTCACTCATGTCACAGCCTAGTGTGCATTGGGCTGGAGTGAGCTTCGTTCCATGTGATCAGTCAGTGACTTCATCATCTGAAACCTTGGGGTTTTCCACAGGATCCTCTGTATCTGGCTGGTGGATGAAGGAAGTGCGTGGAGGATCTCACAAGAAATTTTAGGGACCAGTCCCGAAAGTGAGGTGCATCATTTCCATCCACATTCCATTGGTCGAACTCACTCCTGGGGCCCCACCTAACTGCAGTAGACAAGGAACTCAGCCTGGCTGCATGCCAGGAAGGAAAGGGAAGGGGATTTGGGGAGTACAAAGCATTGTTTCTGGTACAATGGTGTGATTGGCCGAAAGTTGGGGAGCTTCAGTCTTGCTTTTTCATGCTGGATGCTGCGGCAGGGAGGGGTCCTGGGATCCAGAGTGGGGTTTAAAATGGAAGGCTTTCTGGCTTCGGTGTTCTCAGATGTCCCATCATTTCATATAGCTAGACTATGAAAGCTTTTCTGGGGAAAAATTAAAAAATATTGTAAATGTGTGTTCACTCGGAGGCAGTGTGTTACTTAGTTCTGCCACACTGTCCTTGGGTTGTGTGCTACTGTTGTTTGGATCTGGACTGATTCTCTTGCTCAATTGTTGTTGGATGTCCTATTCAAACTGAATCAATCACTGGTGGTGCGTCAGAGAGAATAAGAATCTCATTGTGAAAGAGCATGTTTAATTATTTATCTCTTCCTCCGAAGGGTTGATCATCACATTTCCACAGTTTTCTTGCTTTTCAGAATTCTTGGAATGAGTCAGATCTGTCTTTTAGGCTCACTTAAAATGTTACCATGGTCAGTTGTATGGGACGAGAATTTAAGAGAAGGTCAAATTAGCAAATATTAGGTTGAATTTCCCAGGACTTCAGATATGATCTCATTTTTCTCATGTCCTATTTCTGGTTAGATGTGAGACATGCTGTCTCCTCAGCTATGGATAAGTGTCTTTTCTCTCTTAGCCATTAGTACCGATATAAGAATGAGAAAATATTTCCTCAATGAGTAACTTCCTGCTTTAAAAGAGAGTATTTGTCTTCCACTTTCTATTATAATCAGTTTTGTTTCATTCGTGCAGTTCCCAACTGCAGGATGTGTATCTGTTGTATGAAGAGAATCATAAAGCCATGACCTGCTGTGAATTTGTGACTAAAACCCAGTGTCTGTGTTTACTTCCCTTGCTGAGTTACGGGCCTCTTGTGTGCCAGGATTGAATGTGTATTTGTGTTTTCCTGTATTATAGGAGCATGGTCAGAGTTGTGTCCTGGAATATGACTGTGTGGGTTTGAATCATGGCTCTGCCATGTCCTGGCATTGACTTTGGACAATTTTCCTAGCCTCTGTAAGCCTCAGTTTCTCTTCTTCTTTTTTTTATTTTTTAAAGATATGAGAGAGAGAGAGAGAGAGAGCGAGCGAAAGCGCACGTGCACGTGTGCACACAAGTTGGGGGAGGGGCAGAGGAGCAAATCTTCAAGCAGACTCCCTCCTGAGCGCAGAGGCTGACCTGTGGACTTGATCCCATGACCCATGAGATCATGACCCATGAGATCATGACTTGAATGGAAACCAAGAGCGGGACACTTAACTGACTGCACCACCCAGGTCCCCCTCAATTTCTCTTCTATAAAATGGTTAGATAACAGGACCTACCTCTTGGGGAGGTTGGGAGAAGTGAATGAATTCACACTTGTAAAGGGCTTAGAGCCCATACATTACTATTTCTACAGCAAAATGAATGGATATTCACACTAAGTGGAATAAAGACTATCAATAGCCTCTCATCGGTTTAGGAAAGGTTTTGCCACAAAATGAATCAGGGAAAAGAACTTAAGATTTTCAGAGCTTTTGGGGTTTCTGAATTGTGGATAAGGAGTTGCGGATACATGGAAGAGTACTTTGAGGTTGCCTGAGGGACCCTACGAGCATCTTTGGCGTGCAATAGACAGGTTTATTATTGATATTGTTTTCTTCTAAGAAAAGCTAGTCCAGAAGGAATTACTAGTAACCATTTGTATTTAAAAAGAAGATAATCTAGGGGCGCCTGGGTGGCTCAATCGTTAAGCGTCTGCCTTCGGCTCAGGTCATGATTCCGGGGTCCTGGGATCGAGCCCCTAGTCGGGCTCCCCGCTCGGCGGGAAGCCCGCTTCTCCCTCTCCCACTCCCCCTGCTTGTGTTCCCTCTCTGGCTGTGTCTCTCTCTGTCAAATAAATAAATAAAATCTTTAAAAAAAAATAAAAAGAAGATCTCTAAACAGTAGTTCATAAGTTTGAGTGAATGTAGGTTGTCCATTAAAATCCCTTGGTTGGTCTAGGGAAACAAATGAAGAGTCGGACTTCTACAAAGCTGACTCTACCACCCACTTCCTAACTCACTCATTCTTCTGTCCTTGTTTATGATCATCCCCCTACTTGGGGGGGGGCCTCCCCTTTCTTCTGGTTTGTCAGGCCCCTGCCTGAATTATACCTTTACTACAGTCTCATCTCCAGGTGTCTCAGACTGCACGGACGGCCCCTCCTTTGACCGATTATTGTACCTAAAATCCCACTGTACTGTGTGACATGTCAGTCATTGTTTTGTGCATATTTATAAGCTCCCCAACTAGATGATAGGCTCCTGGAAGGGCAGGTACCTCATCTGTATTTCCCAACATGAAATACAGTGTTTCTGCAACATAGGGAGAGGAACTTTTTAAAACATGAGTTTTGGAGTCAAGGGAATTTGAGAAATGATGAATAGTTTGTTCCTCCTTTGGAGATTTGCATATTGGTCTTAAAGACTGAGCAGTCCTCCTGTAAAGAAGCTTAAGTCTTAACATTACATTTCACATTTATGTTTGACTTCAGAACTCCCCTTCTCACTAAGAATATCCTGCCAACTGTGTTCCATTTGTATATCTTTTTTTAAAAAATATTTTATTTTTTTATTTGTCAGAGAGAGAGAGAGAGAGAGAGAGCACACAAGCAGGGGGAAGCAGTAGAGGGAGAGGGAGAAGCAGGTTTCCTGCTAAGCAGGGAGTCCGACTCAGGGCCCAGGACCCTGGGATCATGACCCGAGCTGAAGGCAGCCACTTAACCGACTGAGCCACGCAGGCGCCCCCATTTGTATGCTTTATTATAATTAGAACTGGGCTCATACAAGGTGCTCATTAAGTAGTGGTAAATAGACTGATGAAACACTCCCTCCTTCTTATTCTATACATTGATTTAATGGACTTCTTTTTATAGATTGTGGCAAGATTAATGCAAACTCATTTTATTTTAAGATTTTATTTTTAAGTAAACTCTACACCCCAGGTGGGCCTTGACCTCATGATCACATGCTCTACTGACTGAGCCAACCAGGCACCCCAATGTGAGCTCATTTTAGAGGAAAACAAATTCTAAATGAATGGCTTCATGACTTTTTACTGTGTATAGCTTTTTTTGGATTTCATCTCAATTACCCCCAAACCTGTGGGTGGTGCTGACCCTAGCTCTTGTCCTAACTGCAAGGCCACATGAAAACTCATCATTTTGGGAAGTTGAGGTTTACAGAGATAGGGCTGGTTCAGGCGTGGGGTTTCCAGGGCGGGTGGAAGGAGAAGTGTGACTTCTGCAGTCATTGAAGTTTTATTTTCCAAACTCAGCATCCAAGTTTTTCTTCCCCTATTTGAGGGAAATGACAAGGCAGCTCCTGTGATAAATGGGACACAGAATCTGACTGCTCCCAGTGCATCTCAATGTAGGCTAGAGAGACTTCCTGTGGAGGTCCCTTCTAAGGAGAAACTTCCATGAGAGAGATGCGCTGCAGGCTCCATGATTTGTGGTGAAATGGCTGCCTTTCTTTTCTTTTCTTTCTTTTTAAGATTTTATTTATTTATTTGACAGAGAGAGACACAGCGAGAGAGGGAACACAAGCAGGGAGAGGGGCAGAAGGAGAAGCAGACTCCCCCACAGAGCAGGGGGCCTGATGCTGCGGGGCTCAATCCCAGGACCCCGAGATCACAACCTGAGCTGAAGGCAGACGCTTAACCAACTGAGCCACCCAGGCGTCCCTGCCTTTATTTTCTTTAAAATTAATATCTGACATTTGAGTAAGCACTCATAGTTGCAAAGTGTCTTTACAGACATCTCCCCTGATCCTCACAGGCACCTTTTGAAGAACATGGTCTAGGCATTAGTATTAATCACATTAATTACAGATGAATAAGCTAAGACCGTTAATTTGTTCAAACTCACACCGTCATTACTCCCCGGATCTTATAAATCAGACCGGGCTATACCCATGTTCTTGCTGGCCCAAGAAAGGAAGTTGCAAATGCCAGCTAGCATCAGCCCTCCCTAACTGATAGAGGAAAGAGGTGACATTATGGGAAATCTTGACTATGATGACTTCCGGCTGTGTCTCCTGAGGTGACTGGGCGGCCAGAGGCTCCATCTTGGTCTGAGGTCCCTCCAGATTTGCTGTTCTTACTGGCTTTGGGGGACATGTCACGTTTTTGGCTTCACCTCCCCTTTATTCTTCTTTCTCCTGTCCTATTAGGGAAGCACTTCCTGCCCCAGACATCAGATTCCCATCCCCTTCCTAGCCCCTCTGTCGGCGTAAGTTAGTTTTTCCAGGACCAGGCAAGGCTCAGACCCAGCAGATAGGTAGAGGAGCCAGGATTGGAACTCAGATCTCGTGATTCCAAGACAGGTTCCTCTTTGGCTGGCGCCATGCAGCTGCCTGCTCACTGTTGTGTGACATGCCCCACTCTGGCCGGAACCCACAGGGAACCCAGAACAAGGAAAGAGATGGAAGGCACGGGACAGCCCTTGTTCTGTCCCTGACCCCGGCATACCATCTCGGAAAGACAGACTATGGCTTTGCTTCGAGGCCTTTGATAAGGGAGGAAATCTACCAGTGAGGAGAGGGTTTTGAGGGAAGTGAGTCAGTCTGAGGGAAGTAAACAATAGCTTTGAGTCTGGTGTTTCCCTGTTTGCTTCTGCCCCCTGGAGGAAAGAATACGCCATGACATGAGCGTTCTCGGAGACTTGGGAATCCAGCAGTAGTGATGGAACTGGGGTCCTTGTCTGGATGCTCTTTGTCCAGTCCTGTGTTCCAACCTGGGCGCAGTACTGGGAATGGAAGGCTTGCCTACACCTGCTGAGGTGAAGGCCAGGGGGCAGTGCTGGTGGGCTTTTTCTACCACACTGAGATCCTGTGGGGATGAGTGAGCTCCTATTAGCTTCTCCAGCAACCTGTGTATCATGTCCTTCATTTCCCTCACAGTATTTATTTATCATAGGGTTTTCAGGAGATTAGCACCTTCTTTATATCTCTCCATTATTATGTGATATATAATTCTTTTTTTTTTCACCCTTACCTCTGGGCCAGACGAAAAGGACATAGCCCAACTACATCCTTAAGTAATGGTCATTATCATTCCCTTTTCCTGATTTATCTGGTGAATTATTTATCTAATAATGTGTACAAATCACCCCAAAATTTAGTGGCTTAAAATAACAATATTAATTTATTTATATCTCTCACAGTTTCTGTGGAGCAGGGATTTAGGGGTAGCTTAGCTGGGCTGTTCTGGCCCAGAGTCTCTTGGCAGATTGTGGTCAGATTTCAGCTAGGGTCATCCAAAGGCTTGACTGGGATTGAAGGATCCTCTCAGGTGGCTCACTCATGCGGCTGTGAAGTTGGTGCAAGGCCTTAGTTCTTCTTCATGTGAGCTTCTCCACAAGACTGCTTGAGTGTTCTCATGACATGGTGACTGGCTCCCCGCAGAGTGAGCTGTTCAAAAGAGAGAAAGAGCCAGGTAGAGGCTGTATCCTTTTTATGATCTAGCTTTGGAAGTCACATAGTATCCCTTTTGCCCTATTCATTAGAAATGAGTTACCAAGCATGGTCCACATTCAAGGGGAAGGGAATTACACTCTTTTTAAGGAAGGAGTGTCAAAGAATTTGCGGACATATTTAAAACTGCCATATCTGGTAGATGTGGGGCCACGATTAATCCCAGCTCTCCCGAATGGGAAGTTCTACTAGACCCAATATGAACAGATCCAGGGACTGCCCATGGGTTGGGTGAATTAAACTCAGAGCACTGAGGAGAGCTCTTATTTGTCCAGTGGCCGGTTTTTCCAGCTTTTTGTTTACCCAAGGCTGTGTTTCTTTTTCTGTCTTTCCCTTTGTAGTTCCTGTTGAGAAGCCAGAAGAGAAATTGTGATAGCTAACTTTGACTTTTATAGTTTATTAGTGGTTGGTAATGTTTGCAGGGCAGAAAGGCTGAAACTCTTGTTTCCATTTAATGCAGAGAGTTGACAGTTTGTGCAAACAGTTACGTGGTGATTTCAGCGGAGTCATTTCTCTCTCCTTTCTGTGATGCCTGCGCTCGTATGAGATGGGACCCTTTTGTTCCTTGGTAGAAGTTCTGTCTGTTCGGCTTACTAGTGTGTTGTTTGATTTGGGGTGGAGGCAGTGGTAGACTTCTGGAAGACCATATCCCAGGGGATGAAGAGAGGTGGGTACCTAGTCATGAGACATGGAGAGAAATCCAGAGAAGTTGGCTAAGGGTTTGGGTAACAATCTGAATTTGGAGATGCCTGTTTAGCTTAGGGGATAGCAGTTTTTCTGCTCTGCAAATGAACTAGGAAGTGGAGGCATCCCTCAGACAAGGAACAGAAACTTAATGGGTTACTCAAAGGGATGTGGAATTTTTAATGAGGAAGAGAAAGATGTGTCTGTCTCTGCTATTAGAAAGATTTATAACAAAGCAGGAGACTGTATTTACCTCTCTGATGGAGGCAAACTGAGCAGATGGGAAAGAAATGGACTAGGTAGGCTATAGAAATTTCTAAAAGATGGAAACAAGATTTTTTAAACAAGGGAATGGAGCCCCAGGAGCTTTATTTGTATTATCTCATTTAATCCTCACAACACGCTCACAGGGTGGGTATCACCACTTCCATTTAAAGCTAGGGAGACCCACTTCCTTAAGGTCATGCAGCCCACAGGTGTGGTAAGGTCAGTGTTAGAAGGCAGGCTTGTCTGGCATGAAGTCTGCCTTTTCCACTGCCTTCCACTGTTTCTGGAGGCAAAGTCAATCCAGGATTCCTGGAAACTAGGAGAAGAATTCTTGGGGGCACTACAGGGAATCTTAGATTCCACTGCTCAGAGGTAACACGGGGAAGCAGGTCATGAGAGGAACTGGGGAGTCTGGAAATGGTCACAACTTAGACGTAGGGGCCTCTGTATCAGCCCACAGCCTGGGGAGTTGAGGGAACGCATGACCCGGGCCGTCCTCTCTGCAGCCATTTGGATCTAGATTTGGATCTACGCTCTGCAGATGCAACCATTTCCTACATACTTGTGTGTTAGTTTAAGAAAGAGCCTTTTGAAAAATCCCCAACTCTGTTTTGGTTGAAGAGAAAAAGTTTTGTTCCCCCTTTGGTTACATTGGACTAAAAGGGGGCTCAGTCTGTGCCTGTGGCCAGATGTGGAGGTAGCCTCTGGCAGGGACAGATCGGAACTGAGAACCTGGGACACGAATGTCATGTGTTTCAGGTTGATTTCTTCCTGCCCCATGCTTAGGTCCTTCAAAACCTCAAAATATGGCACAAAAGCAAAATGGATAAGTAGTGGAGATCGGACTGTGCTTAGGGTTGCTACCCGGTTCCTCTTAAGCTTTTCTCACCCTAGTGTTGTTTTCTCTGTGTGTTTGTTTATTTCATCCAGAGTTTCTTCGGGACACCTTTACTTCCCTGGGGTATGAAGTCCAGTATTTCTTGTATCTGAGCATGGACAGTATCATCCAGATTCTTCGCCAAGTTGCCTGCATGCCCCAACACCAAGACTATGACAGCTTTGTGTGTGTCCTGGTGAGCCGAGGTGGCTCCCACAGTGTGTTTGGCGTGGATCAGACACACTCGGGTTTCCCTTTGGATCAGATCAGGAGGATGTTCATGGGAGACGCATGCCCTTCTCTCTTAGGGAAGCCAAAGCTCTTTTTTATTCAGAACTATGTGGTATCAGAGGACCCGCTGGACAACGGCAGCTTGCTGGAGGTGGACGGACCAGCCGTCCACAACGTGGAATCCAAAGCCACGCAGCCTGGGCCAGGCACCATTCACCGAGAAGCGGACTTCCTCTGGAGCCTGTGCGTGGCAGACGTGTCCCTGTTGGAACGGCCCTACAGCTCTCCGTCATTGTACCTGCAGTGCCTGTCCCAGAAACTGGGGAAAGAAAGGTGAGCCCCCTGGGTAGACTGTGGCCCATCCCGGGACCACTTGTCTCTTTTCTTGCTACCAAGATGGAGATGGCCACTGTGTCACCTTTGATGCTCTTCTCTTCAGGGAGAAAGCACTTTTCTTTTTTTTTTTTTTTTAAGATTTTATTTATTTATTTATTTGACAGAGAGATAGACAGAAGAGCACAAGCAGAGGGAGCGGCAGAGGGAGAGGGAGAAGCAGGCTCTGCACTGAGCAGGGAACCCGATGCGGGACTCGATCCCAGGACCCTGAGATCATGACCTGAGCCAAAGGCAGAAGCTTAACCGTCTGCGCCACCCAGGCGCCCGAGAAAGCACTTTTCATTCCGTGTTGCAGTTGCCTTAGGAGGAGGCGCATTTTAGGAATGCTTTGTGCTTCAGGAGGTCACTTGCTAGTCAGCTTGTAGTTTGATCTTGTTCTTCAAAATAAATTTTTAATTGTTTTTTTTTTATTACAAAAGCAGTACATCCTCCTTATTGAAAACAAAAACAAAAACAAAAACCATGAAATATAAATGCCAAAAGCCGAATATACCAAGCAGTTCTAGTCCTACTTATCAGAATCAATCTCTGTTGGCCACGTCTTGGTGTATTGCCTTCCAGATCTTTTTTGGATACCTGCACAATCATATCTAAATATTTTTTAAACCAAAATGGAGTCATCATCTACGATTACTTTATAATCTGCCTTTAGTTGGTGTGATGGTCTATCACATACATTTTACGTGTCAGTCGTCTTCAGCATCATTTTAATGTCTGTGGAGCAGTCTAAACTATGGCTATGGCATACTTAACTTGACCCATTTTCAGTTGTTGAAAGGTGTTTTGCTTTCATAAAAGGAAAGCGTTCAGTATCTTTGTAGCTCAGTATTCGTGCTTATCCATACTGTTTTCTAGAGGAACATTTCCAGAAGAAGAATTGCTTGTTAAATGACATGCATTTTTAAAGGCTTGGATGCATCTTATCATATTGTTCTCTAGGACAGTCATACCCGCTCTGTAGGAGAGTGCCTGTGTCCCCAAATTCTGCCCGACACCGCATGCTGTTTTATTTCCCTGTCCCAACAGTTTGATAGGTGGCAAATGGTACCTGACTCCCCACGTCTGCAAGTCTTTGTTATACAGACATTTCTGATGCTTATTGGCAAGAATACTTTTCTAAGGGAAACCTTGGTGATCTGGTTTTCGTTTAAGAAGATTATTCCCATGTAAGATTAGCAGTCGTTTTTCAGTTGTCCCCTCATTACAATTTAGAATGAAGTTTCGGAGCCATGTGTGAAATGCATGTTGTAGCTCTGGGGACCCCAGGAATATATCGCATGGCCTGTGACACCCATACCCCCAACCCCTTCAGTCGTGGCTCAGCAGCAAGGAGTGGGCTGTAGTAGAAATGACTCAGCCTTCCATGGGCCAGCAGTGTTCTTGGCATCCATCCTGCATTTGCATAGATGATCCAGATGCATTATCATCCGGGAGTGTCTGGAGTGTCTCCAGGGTAAGACTCGGCTGCCCTTGGGTGAGGGGACTGTGGTCATTGGGCCAGAGTGCTGCCAGTGGGTTTGGATCACTCACTAAGCAGCCTGTAGAGCATTTAAAAAGGAATGATTTCAACACACTGTCACATCTGTTGGCTCATTTCACCCTAACGGTGATCTGTCTCCTCTTTGATATTTGCATGGCATTAATTTTTGCCTTTCTCATTCCCTCCAGAAGACGCCCACTCCTCGAACTCCACATTGAACTCAACGGCACTGTGTATGATTGGAACAGCAGAGTGTCTGCTAAGGAGAGGTACTATGTCTGGCTGCAGCATACTCTGAGAAAGAAGCTTATCCTCTCCGGCAAATGAACAGCCCAAAGGCTTTCGTAGCCCTGCCGTCTCCACCACTAGCCAGAGGTAGTTTTCAAGCGAGTCTATGTGTCATGTGGGGAAGGTGAGGTCCCATAGGTGCCGAAATGAGCCTCTGTGAGGAATGTGGTCAGGAGGGTGTGTTTGAACCAAAGCCTCTGGATGGAAGGCTTTGGCTTCTGTTGCTGAAAGCATGTCAAGCCTGTGTTAGGAAGGAAATGGCTGTGAAACCTGAAAAAAGGACTGGTTGAGTTGGGTGCCTCAGGATTATGTTGCCTTCCTTCGTGTGATCAAATAAACCAGAGCCACGGAGCTAGGGTTGTAGATACACAGTCTATTAGCCTGTGGGTATCCATGCTCCAATAGAAAAGTTAAAAAAAAAAAAACAAAAAGCCACAACAAGGAAACATAACATACACTTAAACTCTTTTTTTTTTTTAAAGATTTTATTTATTTATTTGACAGAGAGAGACAGCGAGAGAGGGAACACAAGCAGGGGGAGTGGGAGAGGGAGAAGCAGGCCTCCCGCCGAGCAGGGAGCCCAATGCGGGGCTCGACCCCAGGACCCTGGGATCATGACCTGAGCTGAAGGCAGACGCTTAACGACTGAGCCACCCAGGCGCCCCCGTACACTTAAACTCTTACGTACCGCCAGCCACCACAGTTAACGTGCGATTTTTTTCCTGTACCCAAGAAAACATGTCTGAATGTGAAGACTGGGTGGCTGTCCTCCTCTGTTCAGGTTCCTATGACAAAGTACCGGACACGGGAGGGCTTAGAGAAACACCTACTTCTTGCGGTTTTAGAGACTGGGAAGTCCAAGATCAAGGCGCTGGCAGGTCTGGTGTCTGATGAGGACCCGCCTCTGGGTCTGCTGGTGGCCATGTTCTTGCTGGGCCCTCACATGGCAGAGGACAGAGAGAGGAAGCAAGCTGTCTTGTGATGGTTCCACCTTCATGACCCTAATTACCTCAAAATGCTCTGTTGCCTAATATCATCACACTGAGAGTTAGGGTTTCAACCTATGCATTTGGTGAGGGACACGAACATTCAGTGCACAACCATGCCTTTATAATTCGAGATTGCTTGTCTGTCTGGGACTCAAGTGGTATTTTACAACTAATCACATATACCTTTCTTTCTCAGGTTTGAGGCGATGACCTAAAAGCAGGTCATTATTTAAAATATCATTTAAAGTTTAAAAAAAATTATTTATTTTTATATTTTTTGACTTGGTGTTAAATGCTGTGTATCTCTATGTGTAAATGCAGTAAACTATTTCAAGTCTTATGTAATAGCCCCAAACTGAAAATTTGCCCAGTGTTCAGGAATACGAGTATGGTAATGATGTTATATTCACTGATTGGTATTTTATGTAACCATTAAAATTATGTTTATAGGGGCACCTGGGTGGCTCAGTCGTTAAGCGTCTGCCTTCGGCTCAGGTCATGGTCCCAGGGTCCTGGGATCGAGCCCTGCATCAGGCTCCCTGCTCCCCGGGAAGCCTGCTTCTCCCTCTCCCACTCCCCCTGCTTGTGTTTCCTCTCTCGCTGTCTCTCTCTCTCTCTCTGTCAAATAAATAAATAAAATCTTTTTAAAAAAATAAATAAAATTATGTTTATAAATAATAAGAGCTTACATTGAGCTGTTATTAGCTCATTACATAAATTACATGGATTATCTCATTTAATCCCCCCTCAAAAGCAGCTCTATGAGGTAGGTATTACTGCTCTCATTTTTTCCTCCATTTTATAGATGAGGAAAATGAGCACAGTGATGTTAAGTAGCTTACCCAGGGTCACCCCATACTAGGATATAGACTCAAGCCATATAAAGAGAGCCACTTTGGGGCCCAAATCCTTAACCAGTTCACAATATGGCCTTGACAGAACATCATAATGAGAAAAATGCTCATATATTCATGTTACCTGGGAAAGAGTACAAAATAGTCTGTTTATTGTAACTATGCTTAAAAGAAAAAAAACCTCTCATAGGAAAACAAAAGGCCAGAAAGAAATGGTTCAAATGGCATATGGGTGACAGACCTCTGGCTGATATTTTCTCTTTCTGTTTCCCAAATTCTCATCTCTTTTGTCTACACATTTGAGAATATTGGCTTCTGCCCTAAAGCCTAGGTAATTCCTTTCAACTTTCAAGTAGTTGGTTCTTCATCACCAACAAAACTACCCCTCTCTTCTTACTTTTGTCCTCACTTCTCTCTAGCCCCTCTTTTCCAGAAGCAGGACCCCTAGTCTCAGGGCTGCTTTTCTGAGCCACTGGTTAGGATGACTGATTAGTCAACCCCTCATTGACCCTCATCCCTACCCCTGTTCTATCCCATCTGCTGTTCTATTCCATTCCCCAATTCCTTCAACCCTCTTCCTTGAATAGGTCATCATTGGGGTCACTTGAAACCTTCTTCTCTCTGCAGTGTTTGATATGAGAATCTCTTCTTGCCCTCTGAGATTTTAGGAGCAAGTGTTCAGGATTGAGGATGTTATTTATGCTGCCAGGAGGTCAGAGTTTGAGGTCAACCATGTCAATTTGTCTGTGTTCAGACTCCACTTGCTGTCCCCACCGACTCATTTTCTTTTTCCTTAGTAATAGAAAACTTGATTTGTAACGGGGCACAAAGCTTCACAGAATATAGTCTACTTGGCCAAGCTCCAACTTGTAGCTAGATGTGGTCATGTGTCGAGGTCCTGGCCAATAACATGTCGGCAACAGTATCATTTGGCAGCTGCTGAGAACTTTCCTCCAAAGGCAGTTGTTTTTTCTCAACATGGTACTGGCACAAAAATAGATGCATAGATCAATAGAACAGAATAAAGGGCCAGAAATAAACCATATAAATGATTATATGGTCAATTAATCTATGACAAAGGTGGCAAGGATATGCAATGGGGAAAAGACCGTTTCTTCAACGAATGGTGTTGGGAAAATGAGATAGCTACATGCAAAAGAGTGAAACTGGACCACTTTCTTAACTGTACACAAACACAAACTCAGAATGGATTAAGGACCTAAGTGTGAGACCAGAAACCATAGAAATCCTAGAAGAAAGCACAGGCATAATTTCTCTGACATTGGCTGTAGCAAAATTTTTCTAGATGTGTCTCCTGAGACAAGGGAAACAAAAGCAAATATAAACTATGGGGACTACATCAAACTAAAAGCTCCTACACAGCAAAGGAAACAATCACAAAAACTAAAAGGCAACCTGCTGAATGGGAGAAGGTATTTGCAAATGATATATCTGATTAAGGGTTAATATCCAAAATATATAAAGAACTTAGCTCAACAGCCAAAAAACAATCTGATTAAAAATGGGCAGAATACATGAAGAGACATTTCTCCAAAGAAGACATACAGATGGCCAACAGATACATGAAAAGAATGGAATATTACTCAGCCATCAAAAACAATGAAATCTTGCCATTTGCAACAACGTGGATGGAACTAGAGGGTTTTGTACTAAGTGAAATAAGTCAGTCAGAGAAAGACAAGTATCATATGATTTCACTCATGTGGAATTTAAGAAACAAAACAGATGAACATAGGGGAAGGGAAGGAAAAATAAGATGAAAACAGAGAGGGAGACAAACCATAAGAGACGCTGAACTCTAGGAAACAAACTGAGGGTTACTGGAGGGGAGGAAAGTGGGGGGATGGGATAACTGGGTGATGGGCATTAAGGAGGGCACTTGATGTAATGAACACTGGGTGTTACGTGCAACCGATGAATCATTAAAGTCTACCTCTGAAACTAATAATGCACTGTATGTTAATTAAATTGAATTTAAGTAAAAAAAAAAAAAAGAAGAAATAGCAGGTGCTGGCAAGGATGTGGAGAAAAAGGAACCCTCGTGCACTGTTGGTGGGAATGCAAACTGGTGTAGCTGCCGTGGGGAATGATATGGAAGTTCCTCAAAAAATTAAAAACAGAATTATCATATGATCCAGTAATTCTACTATTTACCTAAAGAATACAAGAACACTAATTCAAAAGGATATATGCACCCTTATGTTTATTGCAGCATTTTATTTACAATAGCCAAGATATGGAAGCAACCCAAGTGTCCATCCATAGATGAATGGATAAAGAAGATGTGGTATATACATATACACAGTGGAATATTACTCATTCATAAAAAAGAATGAAATCTTATCATTTGCAACAACATGGATTGATCTAGAGAGTGTAATGCTAAGTGAAATAAGTCAGTCAGAGAAAGACAAATACCGTATGATTTCACTCATGTGGACTTTGAGAAGCAAAACAAAAGAACAAAGAAAAAAAAGAGGCAAACAGACTCTTAAATACAGGAAACAAACTGATGGCTACTAGAGGGGAGGTGGAGGGGTTGGGTGAAATAGGTGAAGGGAATTAAAAGTACACTTATCATGATGAGCACTGAGTAATATATAAAATGTTGAATCACTATATTATATACCTGAAACTAATAGAACACTGTATGTTAACTATATTAGAATTAAAATTTTAAAAAGGCAGTTGTTTATTGCCCTTCACCTTTTTGTCCCTTCCTCTATCTTGCTGACTAGAATGTAGTTGGCTGGAGCCATCTGTGAGGATAAGGGCTACGCTGTAGGGATAGCTAAGTGGTGAGCAGGAAGGAGGCTTCTTGGATGAGGACAGTCTGGATTTTTATGTGAGAGAAAAAATGTAGGATTTATACTTCTTTCCTAACACAGTCCAATGATGCATTATTATCTGATTAAAATGTTTAGAATGTTTATGCATGTTATAAGTTTAAAAGAAAAATTTATCTAGATGATTTTAATTTTCTGATTATTGTTTAAAAATGTATGCACACTTAAAATCTGAGCTACCTAAAATCTGAGCACACTAAAATCTGAGCATCTTGGTTTCTTCCAAGTTTTGGCATTGTGAAAAAGGGTGTGATAAACATTTGCATGTTGATTTTTGTGTGGATATAAGTGTTTGGCTCATTTGGGTAAATACTTAGGAGAACAATTGTTGGATTGTATGGCAGGCCTATGTTTAACTCTGGAAGGAACACAAGACTGTATTCCCAAGTGGCTATAGCACTTTGCAGAGTTCCTGTTGCTTCACATCCTTGCCAGTATTTGATGATGTTAGTGTTTTAGATGTTAGCCATTTTAATAGATGTATAGTGATAACACGTTTTAATTTGCGATTACCTAATGGCATGATAGTGAGCATCTCTTTATATCCTTATTTGAAATCTATATATCTTCTTTGTTGAGATGTCTGTTCAATTCTTTTGCCCATTTTTAAACTGGGTTATTTGTTTTCTTATTGGTGACTTTTTTTTTTTTTTTAAGACTTTTTTTATTTATTTGACAGAGAGACACAGCGAGAGAGGAAACAAGCAGGGGGGAGTGGGAGAGAGAGAAGCAGGCTTCCCGCAGAGCAGGGAGCCCGATGCAGGGCTCGATCCCAGGACCCTGGGACCATGACCTGAGCCGAAGGCAGACGCTTAACGACTGAGCCACCCAGGCGCCCCGACTTTTTTTTTTTTTTTAAGACTTGTTTATTTGAGAGAGGCAGAGAGAGAGAGCAGGGGGTAGGGGCTGAGGGAGAGGGAGAAGATTTTTAAGCGGACTCCCTGCTGAGTGCAGAGACCAACTCTGGGCTTGATCTCAAGACCCTGAGATCATGACCTGAATGGAAACCAAGAGTCAGATGCTTAACCAGCTGAGCCAGCCAGGTGCCCGTCTTATTGGTGAGTTTTAAGTGTTCTTTTTTTTTTTTTTAAGATTTTATTTATTTATTTGACAGAGACACAGAGAGAGCACAGATAGGCAGAGCGGCTGACAGAGGCAGAGGGAGAAGCAGGCTTCCCGCTGAGCAGGGACCCCACGCGGGGCTTAATCCCAGGTGCCCCTTAAGTGTTCTTTATATAGGGCACTTGGGTGGCTCAGTTGGTCAAGCGTCTGCCTTTGGCTCCGATCCTGACCCCAGGGATTGAGCCCCACATCAGGCTCCCTGTTAAGCCGGGAGTCTGCTTCTCCCTCTCCCTCTGCTGTACCTCTGTGCGCTCTCTCTCTCTCTGTCAAATAAATGAATAAAACCTTTTTTTTTTTTAAAGAATTCTTTGTATATTTTGGATATAAGCCCTTTTTCAGATATGTTTTACAAATTATTTCTCCTAGTCTATGGTAGAAGTTTGTAATTTTAATGATACTCAGTTTACAGTTATTATTTTTTTTTTTCCTGGATTGTGCTTTTAATGTGTATCTCAGAAATCATCAGCAAACCCAAGGTCACCTAAACTTTCCCCTATGTTATTGTTTTTAAGATTTTATTTATTTTTTTTGAGGGAGAGAGATTGCACGTGCACTCGCACACAATCGGCGGGGCGTGGGGGGGTAGGGGGCAGAGGAACAAGCAGACGTCTTGCTGAGTGTGAAGCCTAAGGCGGGGCCAGATCCCAGGACCTTGAGGTCATGACCTGAGCTAAAGTCAGCCACCTAACCTCTGAACCACCCAGGCACGCCTTTCATATGTTATTAACCAGAGTTTTGCATTTTGCTTTAAGTCTGTCATCATTTTGAGTTAACTTTTTGTGAAAGGTGTTAAGGTCTATGTCTGTATTCATTCTTTTGTTTTGATCTTTATGTTTAGAGCTTAATACTGAGTATACCAATATACCCCATATAGGTAGCATGTTGGGAATTTTAAATAATGCAACTGTATTATTTGTTTCTTTGTGTACAAAACACATATTGTGACTTAAAAAATAAAATAAAAATTACATATTGTAAAAGGGTCCAGTTTGTTTAATATATAAACACACTTAATGTATTTATTTTAAACATAAATGGCGTAATATTTAACACTGTTCTTTCTTTTCATTCAAGTAGTCATGTCTGTATCTATGCTTTGTATCATATTTAAGTTATTCACAACTTTTCACTGTTTAAATGATGATACGAGTAACATCTTTTCTTCCTTATTTGGTAAGGACTTCTTGCCCCAAACCTAGGATTCCCATCCATCCTTAGTGTCTCTTCTGGCGGAGCTCAGTCTCATTATTTCAACTGTCTTGCATCTTTAATCTCTCTCTCTCTCTGTTTTTGATCCTTCAGTCCAAAAACAAGCTCTGATTCCCCATCAAATAAAGTCCCTCTCTTTCAAACCACTGTCTTATGCATGTTTAGTCTACTCTATACTCTCTCTTCTTTCACCCATTTATGCCATACTTCCTTGCTATCTGGATCTCACCTTAATCATTCTGCCAGATCTACAAGATCCAAGGGTGACTTGCACCATAGTTACCAAACTAGTAGTTCCTAGATTCTATGGGGTCACTGTCCCCTTCCTACTTCTCCAGGGTACCCCACCCTAGAGTTCCTTCAAGGCCAAGTCTTCTTAGTATCTTTCTCCTCCAGATCTGTAGATGTGGATATGCACGAGGATCACTCCTTTCTCTCTTTATATGTTCTCTTTTAACAACCTTGTTGCTTCAGCTACTACTCCTATGCTGCTAACTCGTTGGATATTTCTAGTCTAGACTCTTCAAATTCAAATCTCACCCTGCAATTTCCTGGAAAATATTTCCATTCCACTTCATATCCTCTTTGGGACCTCAAACTCAGTATACTCCAAATATAAGCAAAACCTCCATTTCAAATCTGCTTTCCTCCCTGTGTCTCCATTTTCACTTAACAGCACCTCCAGAACATCGTTTTCACTCTGATCCACCGTTTCCTATGTTTCTTCATCCAGCTAGTTTCCAAATTGGTTGGTTCTGTACCTGTAATGTCTTTTCCATCTATCTCCATCATTACAATTCGCCCTGCTTTCATTATCTCTCCATTGAACTATGATAATAGCTTTCTCACTGATCTTGCCTCTAGCCTCTTAATTCTATAATTACTTCATACATGGCAACCTGAAGAATCTCCCTAACAGCTTTGTCACCTCCCTCCTTTGAAACCTTCAAGGTTCTCCAGTGCATACAAAATAAGAGTGGGCGGGGGGGGGGGGGGCGAGGGATGAAGTGGGGAGCAGGAGCTGCTGGTGTAAGACCTAGAGTCCAAAGCTTTAATGTCCTAAGGTAGAAGAAGATAACCAACCCAGTTCAAAAAGAGAGAGAATTTGCCCTTCCTCCCGTTTATTAGACCATTAATGGGTTAGATATTGCCCACCCACATTGGTGAGGGCAGATTTTCTTTACTCAGTCTACTGATTTAAATGCTAATCCCTTCCAGAAACATCCTTACAGACATACCCAGAAATAATGTTTACTGGCTCTCTGGGTATCCCTTAGCCGTCAAGTTGACACACAGTTAACAATCACAAGGTTGTTTGTGACATCTGATAGGGACATATTTTTTCATTGAGATATAATTCACCTTTTATAAAATTGATCCTTTGAAAGTGTACAAGTCACTGAATATATGTTCACGAAGTTGTGCACATCACCACAATCTAATTTCAGAACATTTTCATCTACCTAAAAAGAACCTCCATACCTGTTAGCCATCATTCCCTATTCTCCCCTTCTCCCCAACGCCTGAACAAATACTCATCTATTTTCTCTCTCTACACATTCGTCTATTCTGGATATTTCATATCATACAGTACGTATCCTTTTGTATCTGACTTCTTCCACTTAGCATAATGTTTTCAAGATTCATCCACGTTGAAGAATACATAAGTACTTCATTTTATTTTATTGCTGAATAATATTCCCTTGTATAGGATATAGCACATTTTGTTTATCTGTTCATCAACTGATGGAAATTTGGATCGTTCCCACTTTTTTGGCCTTTATGAATTATGCTGCTCAGAGTATTCATGTAAGTTTTTGTGTGGATACATGTTTTCAGTTCTCTTGGGTATATATAAGTCCAGTGGACTTACTGGATCATATAGTAACTCTGTTCAACTTTTTGAGGACTGCTAAACTGTTTTTCAAAGTGGCTGTAGCACTTTACATTCCCATCAGTAGCGTATAAGGGTTTCAATTTCTTCACATTCCTGTTTTTGTCTTCTTTTTTTAAACTATTATAACCACCCTACTGGGTATGAAGTGGTATCTTATTGTGGTTTTGATTGCATTGCCTTAATGACTACTAATGTTGTTGAACATCTTTTCATATGCATAGTGGCCATTTGTATATCTTCGCTGTGGAAACATCTATTCAAATCCTTTCCCATTTTAACTGATTGTCTTTCTATTATTCTGGTGTGATTATTCTTTTTTTTTTTAAGATTTTTATTTCATTTGACAGAGAGAGAGCACAAGCAAGGGGAGCGGCAGGCGGGGGAGGGGGGTGGCGGGGCAGGCTCCCGGCTGAGCAGGGAGCCCCATGTGTGTGAGGGAGCTTGATGTGGGGCTTAATCCCAGGACCCCTGGGATCATGACCTGAGTTGAAGGCAGACGCTCAGCTCAACGGACTGAACTACCCAGGTGCCCTGTAATTATTCTTTATATATTCTGGGTACTAGTCTCTTATCAGATATAAGATTTGCAAATAGTTTCTTCCATTCTAGATGTTTTCTTTTCACTTTCGGGATAGGGTATATTTCTAGCACAAAATGTGTATATTTTGATGATATCCAAAATTGACCTGTTTTTCTTTTGTTGCTTAAAAGTTTTGGCATCATATGTAAGATACTATTGCCTACTGTAAGGTCATGAAGAGTTACACATATTTTCTTGTAAGAGTTTTATGATTTAAGCTCTTACATTTAGGTCTCTGTCACATTTTGAATTATTTTTTGATTTTCTTTAAACAGCATTAAAAATATATGGGCGCCTGGGTGGCTCAGTTGGTTAAGCGACTGCCTTCGGCTCAGGTCATGATCCTGGAGTCCTGGGATCGAGTCCCACATTGGGCTCCCAGCTCAGCGGGAGGCCTGCTTCTCCCTCTGACCCTCTCTCCTCTCCTGCTGTTTCTCACTCTCTCTCTCAAATAAATAAATAAATAAAATCTTAAAAAAAAAAACCAACCACAGCATTAAAAATACTTTACTCTTGGGGTGCCTGGGTGGCTCAGTCATTAAGCGTCTGCCTTCTGCTCAGGTCATGATCCCAGGGTCCCAGGATTGAGCCCCACATCAAGCTCCCTCCCACACATTGGGGTCACTGCTCAGTGGGGAGCCTGCTTCTCCTCCTCCCTCTCCCTCCTGTTCCCCCTGCTGTGCTCTCTCTCTCTGTCAAATAAATAAATAAAACCTTAAAAAATATATTTTACTCTTTTAACCACATCCACCTAGTTTCCTAGACAATCTAATATTAGTTTAT